TAATGTGGAGTAAATGCTTTACATGAGCTACATCTACATCACCTCTAGCTGCTGCCTCACACTCACTCTAAACCTTTAGCCTCCTACATGTGCCACACAGCATGCTGGTGTTAACCCTCAGAGCTACAAAAAATAAGATGATAACAAGACAGACAAACACACTGTCATCCAGTGGTACTAATTTGAACACGTGTGCTTGCAAATGTAAACATATGATGGCAAGATACACAAGTGTTCTCATGATAATCATTTATGGAGCTTGGTAGCGAGGGGGCATAGTGCTATTATCGTGGTCTAGCAGCAATGTTCAGCTCTCAAACACCATCCACACTGAGATGCAAACACCATTAGCCTGTACATCCAGGATATATGATGTGCACTCTGTGTAGCTGTGCCAAGTACTTCTTGTCTGCTGCCATCCTATAGGGAGATAAGTTCTTCTGTCTGTGTGGCTATACCCAGTCCAAAGGTAAGTAGGACTTTATTGATCCCATAATAGGGAAATTCCTGTGTTCCAGCAGCAACAGAAAGCAGCAACAAAACACCATGTATGTTTAATATGGGGATAACAGTGCGTACTTTTAGACAGTGTCCAATGCATGCATAGTGTTCACATAAAAAGTGCCACAAATAGTTGTGTAAAAAAGGAAAAAGTGAGAGCTAGAGAGGAATTCAATCCCTCACCTTCACACAGCTGGCCAATCATACAACACCTTTTTCAGTTTTGTTACCAGTTTTTCCATTTCACTACCTGATTTTAGATGTGGTTCTGACACAAAGCTCTTATTAAAAAGCTATACTGGTCAACAGAACGGCCCCTACCTACTACCACACCAAAATACCAAGGGCTTTTCTTCTTCTTTTTCAGCTGCTTTTTAATGGTGGTTGGCAACCAGCTTTAGGTGCATTACCGCCACTTCTAGACAGGAGTGTGGATCAGAACAGCCCCTAAAATACTAAGGGCTTTTCCTTTGCTGGCTGCCTTTAATACCCTAGGCTCCACCCCGTACCAATTGAGCCACAGTGATGTCTACTCACGTGGCACACACCTAACCATATTTAATGACCTTAAAATGGCTGCAATGTTTGAACCTACAACTCACACTTGATAGACGGACAACACCCAAACACCTAAGCACCTAAGCAAGCAAATGACACGGAACCTGTTAAGTAATAACACAACTTCACTAAGCTGTAGATTCGTTTATCTATGCGCATTGCTGGGAAAGCAGAGACGTATTCAGATGTATACAGGGACATAATTATGTGGCTCTGTGGTGGCTGTTTAGCCAGTGGAAAAGCAAACTGGTTATTAGAAGGTTCACAAGTTGAACCAGGTCTAGTACCAGCTCAGGACTAGCACTTAGTGTGTGTTGGTCAAAAAGGGATATGAGATGGGCTTGGGCCCTGCGAGCTAAGTGGTGTTTCTGCACAAAATTAATGTATGGCTTCCTTCTTACATAATAAAGGTTCAGGTTGCATTTCTGGATGCAGCAGCAGACTGTGTTAAGTGACAACGATTTTCCAAAGTTGTCTCGAGGTCATGCGGCTATATTCATTATGTCAGCATGACGGTTTCTCATGCAGTGTCTCCCGAGTGGGAGACACACCGAGTAGTTTTCACCCTTGGTCTTTACGAACTGAGATTTCTTAGAATATAGTATTTGAGAGACAATCAAGAACAAGAATAATCCTCCCACAGAGGATCCACCCTTAGAACAATTCAAATACCTAAGAACAAGACAAGATATAGTATTCGAGAGAGATCAAGGAATCAAGGTCAAGAATATTACTCCCATAGTTAATCCCGCAATGGGGGATATACCTGTATTTCAGCCATGAGGATCTCTGAAAAACTACTCAAAAATACCTAAAACAAGACAATTTAATTAAAGTATTTGAGAGAAAATCAAGGACAAGTCTTTACATATGTGCATATTTACAATGCATTTTACCCCCAGGATTTGAGTATTGCACCTCAGCTGACTATTACATAGTTCCTCATACTTTCACCTAGCTTATCCCTGCAGTGATATATTATACAGTCTGATACCTGTGTGGAGGAATGACCTACGGTAATGCTCCTTCTTGCACCGAGGATGTAGCAGTCTTGTGCTGAAAGAACTTTTCAGATCCTCCACTGTGTGGTGCAGGGGATGGGAGGGGTCGTGTATGATTGATGTTAGTTTTGCCAGCATCCTTCTGTCCACCACCTCCTCAATGGAATCCAGGGAGCAGCCCAGGACAGAACCAGCTCTCTTAACCAGCTTGTTAGGTCTCTTTCTGTCTCTGTATGTGCTGCCACCACAGTATCATAAAAAGTCCGAAGGAGTACCCCGTGCACACCAAAGGACCTCAGTCTCCTCAACAAGTGGAGGCGGCTCTGGCCCTTCCTGTACAGGGCATCTGTGTTGTTGGTCCAATCCAGTTTATTGTTGAGGTGGACACCCAGGTATTTAAAGGTGTCCACAATCTCAATATCTGAGCCCTGAAAGCTCACCGGAGTGAGTGGTAGTTTCTGCCAGAGATCAATCACCATCTCTTTTGTCTTGCTGGTGTTCAGGACTAGTTGATTTTCCTCACACCACTTCACAAAGTCAGTAACAACCCCCCTGTATTCCCGGTCATCCCCCCCCCCATACACATCCAACAATGGCAGTGTCATCAGAGAACTTTTGTAGTGGGAGTTGTACTTGAAGCATCCCCTAGGGTGCCCCCATGCTGCAGACCACCACGTCCGACACACAGCCTTACGAACTGAGGTCAAAGTCCATCATTACATGAAAACAAAAGGACTTAATCTGTTGTATGTTGTTATGTCTCAGGATATTTGAGGAGTCCTTCAGTGTTGGATCAAATGCAACTGATTTCAAAGCTTGTTTTGCGCAGAAGGAACGTTTGCAGTGATTCAGTGCTAATCTGCCTTGCATCCGATCGCTTTCATGTTAAACAGTTTATGCTCACATGCAGGTGAAAGTGGGGCCTAAAATATTGTACCAAGGCTCTGCTCACAGCACTGAAGGCAGATGCACTTTTTCCTTGGGCAAGACACTGAACCCCCCGCATTGCCCTCGATGGTTAGAGCCATTGGTTGAGTTGGTGCCACAGATGGCTGCCATCAGTTCTGTACCGGAAACAAATTCCTTGTGTGACATACTTGGCCAATAAAGGTGATTATCCTTATCCTTAAGAGG